GTTTGATGAATTTAACTATAATATTGCCAGGGTGAAGGTCTGCGTGAACAAAGTTATCAAGTATAAGCATGCGCTATAATAATTAATTGTAAATAATAATAATAATAATTAGTTTTTTTTTAAGAAAATAAAATTAAGAAAATTTAAAGACTTACGAGAAATGCATCTAGACCTATTTATTGATAAAAGAATAACGATAAGTTCAATTAAATAAAGTTTAATAATATAAAATTGAAAAAGAATTACTAAAAACTTGCCAGTATTTGCAATCACATTGTCGTATACTTCACCACCTTGTTTAAGAATCAATTTAACAGGTAATCCTTCTTCAAATTCTTCAATTAGTATATCCTTTGTAGAATATTCTACGACGGGCATTGGAAATTTCACGAATCTATTATTTTTAAAATTCTTTTGAAAATTCAATAAATTTGTCGCTTCGATTCTTAAGTCTAATTGATCACCCATCATTTCTCCAAATTTTGAAACTTCTTCAGGAAGAGAAAGCCATTGCATATTAGGAAGAGAATTAATTAATTTTGCAAAAAACATCAGGATTTTAAGATCTCGTTGAATAGTTTTTTCAGCCGTTGGATGTAGTACTTTAACAGCGACTGTAGGAAATCCAGTGGGGACCTTAAATTGTTTTTTGGATATAGCTCTTGAATCTTCTTGATAATTCTTATAATATTCTGTGGGAAGTATCTCAGGATGAATTTTAGCTTTATATACCTATATTAATATGTAATAGCTTATTAAATTTATTAAATATTAATTGCTTATAAAACAATTTTCATAAAAAAAAAAAAAAATCAATTACTTGTGCAATAGCACCAATCCCAATTGGTATCTCATCAAATTCCGAAAAAATTTCATGAAATGGTTTATTAAATGCTTTTTCAACGATTCGTTTCGTATCATTAAATGGATGTGCACCTACAGACGAATGAAGTTTTGACAGACGGCTGCACATCTCTTGAGGAAATATATCAGTTCTTGAGGCAGCCCATTGCGCAAGCTATTCAAAAAAAAAGAAAAGATTATTTAATGTTGGCTTAACTAAAACACGAGTAAGCCTAGACTAACCTTTATAAATGTTGGTCCAGCCGATTCCATTTGACGGACCAGTATTCTATACCACAAGATAGTTCCTGCCCTTTCATTGCCATGTTCGGGTAATATTGATCCAAAGAAGATGATCGGTGATCCAATGATCAATGGTAAAAATAAAATCAACAAATATGTAAATCTGCAAGCAATTAAAAGTGGCTCAACAAAATTTTCTGATATAAATATAATAATATGATTTATCCAACTCTTTATCATATTAGGAGAATCATTATGAATAGTTGAAGTGTGCTCTTGTATAAGTTGCAGTGATGGTTTTGTGTATTGGATTTTATCAGATTGTGTATTATTATCTATTGAAGCAACAGTGATAGCATATCGAATATTTGGTAATGCAAAGATAAAAAATTTTTTGAGGCAAATTTTTTTTTTCCAAAAAGTCGATCTTTTTGGATAAGACAATTTTTTTAATTGTCTCCATTCTTCAAATTTATTTTGATTTATTGTACATGTTCTATTAAATTGATAATTTTTAATAGATTCTAAATGAAATTTTTTTTGACAGTTGAAAATTGTCCGTGCATTTTGACATCGTCTGGTAACAATCCAAATAAATCTATAGGGCCTCATAAAAGCGGTGTTACCTATTAAAATCTTAAATATCGTAATTTTATACTGATTGTCGATCATGTTTTCAACGAATAGTATTATACTAATGCTAACTAACGATAACAAGAATTCAACTACGTAATGATTGCTTTATTCCAAATTTACATTTTTTATTAACGTTTATTGGCAACAGATCATATGGGGTATTATCTATTAAAACAGCCCTTTTTTACATATATTTCATTTTGAGATAATTGAGTTTAATCACTTGTTTTGATTTTCGGACTGATCCGGGATTAATCAAATTTCACGATTTTGATTGGTTAAAGGTAACAGGTGACTATCGGGTAATCTCGTGATGTGTTGGCCTTGGGCAGCTTCATGTAATTTTTCTTTTACATTATCTTGATTTTTTATTATGCAAATCGACTTTCATTTATAATTGAAAAATGTCAAGCATGTCAAAATTTATAAGAATCCAATAAAAACTCATTTTTCGAAAAATTGCAAAAAAGGGCTGTTTTAATAGATAACACCCCATATGAATATCGATATCGCGTTACTTTGTTAGTGAATCATAATTAAATCATATAAATACTTAAAAAGCAGCCTTTGACTTATTTTATCGGGTGATACAAACCAAAAAGGAAATTTAGTTTTGTAAACAAAAAATTAAGTGCGTAAAGAGGGTAGGGTTAGTGTTGGTATAAAGGATATAACGATAGATCAGTGCTTATTATATGTGAAATTTCAAGTTTCGTCATGTTTAAAGGTCGATTTAAACATTCTTTTTTGCTCATACGTCGGGCCAGCAAAATTTACGTCCTCTGATTGGCCATTTCCTTTCAGAATTTGTATTACCCGCTAAAATAAGTGGATACTTTATACTAAATATCAAGGAAAATAAGTTTAACCAATACTGCATTGTAGTACGTCATCCTCTTAAACAAAAGACAATCTGGCTCAAAATAAAATACTTATCTAAGTGCGAGCAAGATCTGAAAATATGATATCTTAGTTGAGACGTGTGAAAAAAACTGTCTTATTTTGCATAATATAGCTATTTGTGTAACAAATGTAACCATAGAATTGAAGGTTATTAATTAATATGTTGTAAGAAGGAATTAATACAAAAAGAAAGTCATTAGAAAAGACATTATTTCTTGTAGTGTTAATAGGTGAAGTTTAATATGCATAGTTTATAAGTCGAATCTCATGTTTATTAAAAACTTATTAATTGATTTAAACTTACGTTATTTCGACCTAAAAATGATTTTGACAGTTCGAAATGACGTCCATTGTAATTAATTTTACGTATGTCTTTTCCCTTTTCGGATCTAACTAAATTTAGTATCGTGATTGTTATGATCCGGGAGCTAACTAAATTAGTATCGTGATTATGATCCGGGAGCTACCAGGGACCTGTGGATTTTGTGATTTGCTGTGATCGAAGCAAATCACAAAAATTATGTGGTTTACTGCGATTTGCTTTGATTATAGAAAATGCACTTTTTAAGAATACACGATGAAATTATTAGCAAATATAATAAAATATTTTATATTTCAATAGTTCAAAGAAATAAAAATATCATGGGCTATATATTTGCGCATAAAAATCAAAATTTTTTTTTAGTGCAACTTTTTTTCAAAAAATTCTGTTTCAAAAAATTCTGAAGTTATTTATTAGAAAGATTTTTAAATTTTATACAAATTCGGACTTTTATTGTTAATCAGCAGTAAATCAAATAATTTGCTGATATCGAAAACATAATTTGTTAAATTATATCACAAAATCCACATGTCCCTGTCTTATCCCAATGGTTGTGTAACGACAGACACATTTACATCATTTTTTTTTATATATAACTTATACGTACCAACATTACTCACAAGTGTTTATTTACATAGTCGTCAACAATTTTTTCAAAAATTTGATTATTTATCGAATCGTAATATTAAAAATTGACCTAATCCCCCATCTCCTTTATTCAAAATTTTAAAATTTACGATTATCAATGAATTTTTTAATTTACAATAAATTATGTGCACTGACGTACATACGTATTGTACGTAAATCGGCAGGTCCACCTCCAATATTTCGACCATCTCACCTGCCAATGTTCCTGCCTCTGAGGCTTCTACCAGTAAGTTATTTTTCAGCCGGAAAAATAACAGTATAACTGGATTAAAAAATTCGGGATTTGTGATGTGATTAAGGGAAGAAGCTCATACTCGTATGTACATAGGTGAGTTAGTAGAATCGCACCAAATCTTTTTTAATGAAGTTTTTTAAATCTTTAAACAAAAATAACAAAAACTAAAAAAAAATTTGTGTTCTACTGACACTTCCATATAGGTGCGCGCTTTGTACATGTCCGGAGAATCACTAAAAATAAACGGGTTCGTTCACAACAATATCATTGGACTTTATAAATGTCGTAACAAATAAGTAATGCGATAGATAAATTATGCAAACGAAACAATGAAATAATATAGGAGTAATTAATTAGTAATTTTTTTGTAATAATTGTGTAATGCGAATGTATAAATAATAAGTCGTAAGCAAGGAGAAGAATAGTCTTCCGCATAAGTAATTTCTCTAATAAAAAAAATACCTTTTGATATAGAAACTTGTAATCGTTATCCCAATTGTAGAATAGATAATAAAGCGAGTGTTCGATCGTATAATAACGATCCTGGGCCAGATATTCGGTACAGTTCACCCTATATCGTTTAACCCCGTGATGCCAAGATTAGATTATTGGAAGAACTTATCAAAAACACAACGTTGATTTCATTAAATCTCCATAGTTCCACAGCATCTCCCGAAGATATGGCTGATTTTGTGGTGCTGCCTGTCACGGTCAAGATCGGTTCTACGGCAAAAATTGGTCCAGAACTCGTACAATGGGGTCTACGACATCATCATACGGCAAGATTCGGGGTTGATAGTAGATAGTTTAATGCGTGTAACCGATCAATCAAGGATCGATCAAGGCACATAAGAAATATGGGATTAACAAAGATAAGTATCGGATGATTGATTAATGATGTAATTGAAGTAATTGATAAGGATAAGTATCGTATGATTGACTATGTGCAATTAATTTAGAGATCGAATGTTAAGTATATAAGGAACCTTTTGCTGATAAAAGGACGTAACAACACATAATATAACTAATTTTATGGATGGTTGCGACTCTTATGTGCGTGGTGGGGCACATGAGGAAGAAATAAAAAATACTTTCTCTCAAAAAGCATACAAACGACGTATTAGGCGAAAACACAATACTTACGGCGATTTTGGAGCTCTATGATTAGTGGCCACGTACGACCACGACACTGCCTTTTATAAGAATAATCTTGGCACGTTTGGAGGTGTGGTCTTTGTAGGTGTGCTTTGTATGAACAAGACCTTAAATTCATTAAAAATTGAAGAAAGTCAGATTGGCATAATTGGAAGGAGAGAGATTAGAGACACTCTTTGTAGAAACAACAACTTTAATTAATTGTAATGATAATTCAGAAATTACAAATTCTTTTTTATCCATTAGCATAATACCCTTATACTATTCCAGTACCCCTTAGTATAGTACCTGCTTCTATTTATTATATAAAAGAATACACTAATATCATTTAAGTACTCTGTGCTTAATTGAAAATTTTCAATTCTTTTTAATGCACATTCAGCTGGACCATTTTTGATCCACCAGCATCATCTTTATTCCAATGACTTCTTGTATCTATATTGCGGAATAAATAGTGCTAAAAGAACCGCATGATTTAAAAAGATCATTAAATAGAATCCAATTCAACAAAAAGTAATTCATACTCTTTTGCATGTAGCGTTGGGTAAGTTGAATAAGATTGTCCATTTTTTTGTGATTACTACAGTAGCCCATTTATTAAATTCCACATGCTCTTTTTGTTTTTGCATGTAGCGTTGGGTAAGTTGAATAAGATTGTCCATTTTTTTGTGATTACTACAGTAGCCCATTTATTAAATTTCACATGCTTCTTTCGTTTTGGCATGGACACTATGAATTACTGTTAAGAGTTCGTCTACATTCTACACATGTATCTGGACATGTATCTGGTAATAATGATAGCGTCATTTTTAAAGGACAGTTAGATATAAAGGGTATAAATAAAGCGAATGGACAATTTTGAGTTTGAAATTTATAAATTTAAAATGTATTATCAAGGATTTATTTAAAAAGGAATTATAAAATATTTACAAGAGAGCGATGGCGAAGTGAAAATTTTTTTTTTTGATATTCAATTGAAACACATATGGTGAATTTAAATCACTTGATTGAATATCTAATTTTGTTTTTGTTATAAATAATTTAAATATCATAGTTAAATTTTTGCAATTTGACAATTTAAAAAAATGACGTGAGAATGATCATGTGCTTAAATCCTTGTTGCACTAAATAGTTGAGAATTCTTCGGGGAGATTTTTATGCTATGTTTTTTTCTTGTTTTCTATTTGATTGTTTTATTTATTAAAGATAACGAAGACACGAGGCATTTATTTGTCACGAGATCATGACCCAGATCCCAGACCCATGACATCAGATGAGCGAGGGTGAATGGGGTGATGAAGTGAGTAATTAGTAAGTAATGATGTATTGGTGATAAATGTCGAATTTGATAGAATAAGTGATGATAAGTATGAGCTCATGGTAAATGGCTATTTAAGAGTTATTGGTTTTGGAAGTGATTCTTTCTCTTTTGTCTTTGCTGCTAGTTTTAGCTTTGTTGGGGGGTGTATAGTTGATTCTAGTAAAAGAAAACTCATGCTCTTTTAGTATTTCTAAGTGGTTTTCTTTTTTTTGTATTTTGCTGACTTCACCAAAATTTTCAACAAAAAAGTGGGCATTTCAGCTTACCTATCCAAAAGATTGGCATTGTTTACATTTTCCATTTTCAGACAGACAAAGTAGAACATAAACTCAGGATTGTTTTGGCAATAATAGCCCTACACCACGTAACAAACCAATTGGCACTCTGGTTAACAAACCAACTCGGATAGGATATGATAGTTGGAAAAAATTTTAACGATAAGGCTTAGCTTTACAATAGAGATATACAAGGTTTTTAAATTTATTGTATTACTGTGAAATAGCACACACCTGCATGGTATTTCGATCACCTGTGCGGTATTTCAAGTATGCGCATATGCACTATTTCGAAATCAACTTAGTTTTTATGAAATTTGGTGCTTTGACTAACTATGTAATGCATCATTTACTATTTGTTTTTGATATTTCTTATTGTAAAATCATATAGATAACATCTAACCCATCTTTTTATGGGAAGATGGGTTAGATGTTAGCTATATGATTTTACAATAAGAAATGTCAAAAAACAAATAGTAAATGACGCACTTTATAGTTAGTCAAAGTACTCTGATTTCATAAATTCGCCACGATGAAGAGTTTTGATTCATATTATCTGGCTTATCTGTCAAATATTTGCTATAAAAATTGATGACAAACAGTCAACATTGTAACAAAAAGAGAGATGAGATGGCACTAAGAATTTTCTCTGTGGTTCAGTACACTTAAAGTTATAGAAATACATACATTATTTATACAGTATACTATATAAGGTGCGCACTATTTTGGGACACAGGTGTTATTTTGAAGCCAAGTATACTATTTTAAGGGAATGTGATTTTCGAAATAACGCCCATGTGCGCTATTCTGCGGTAATACGGTAAAAATTAGGTTTGTTTAAATTTAATTAGGTATATAACTGTGTCTAGCATGGGTTATAATAGTGCTTTCATAGATTGATTTCTTTTTCTTTTTCTTTTATTTGTTTTTTTTTATTTGTTTTCTTATTGCTTAGGTATTTTTTTTTTTCCTTTTTATTTTTTTCTCTTTATCTTTGTTTAGTATTAATTTTTTTTTCATAAGTTAGTTTGAAACTATAAATCCTTCTGCTTGAAAAGCTAGAAGAAGGTTAGAAAAAGAGGCAATCTTGATAGGTCATAAATACCATTTAGTGATGTATCGAAGAATTCAATTGCAAATTTTTTGGTATGGAGATAAACTTTACTATAGCAGATCAGACATGGGTAATTTGAGCGCTTCAATATCACAAAGAGCCAGATTAGTTAATATTTGTAATTAGATAGATTTTAGATAACTTTAGTCAAAATTACATTTTTACCTAGGTATTTAAATGTTTATGTTGTGCCTTAGATCGATTCTCATGTCAGATCTAAACTGACGCACATTAGATGCTGATTTTCAGGTAACACACATCACCTGTCGATTAATCATCTGACATGCGTGAGTTGTAATTCGAGATGTGTAGGTTGTAAACTGACGCACTATTAAAATCATTAATTACTATCAATTTTTATTGCCAAATTTAATATTTTTATTAAAAAAAAATACAAACACAACGAATGATAAAATTATAATAATAAATGAATTGCACCACCTGCTATTATTTAATTAAAAACATAACAAATACACCACTATGTATTAATGTAATGAACTATGACTACAAAATTCTGCAAACATACCAAAGCTAAAATAAACAAATGCAAGAATCCCAACAGAAATAACTACCAACAAACAGTGCAATCTACGTAAAAACTCAATGAAATACAAAAAAAAAGTGTTAGTAAATATGAAAAAAGAAAAATATATATAACAACTCAAGTTTGCATTACCAAATCAAACATGACGACACCAATAATTCTGATAATAACGAAGACTCTAAAAACAAAATTATACCTGAAAAGAAGTGTTAGTAAATAAAAAAAAAGACAATGACACAAGCAACAAGCTTATCAACTTTAACAATGATAACTCCAAAGTGACGAAATCACACTGAAAAAAAAAAGTATTAATAAACACAAATAAAAAAAACAGAAAAATGCAATATAATAATATAAATGATAAACTTACTGACTTTAACAACAGCTCTAAAGCAATAACTCCAACAACAAAATCATATTGAAAAGAAGTGTTAGTAAATGCAAAAAAAGGTAATAAAACAACACTCAAGCAATAAACTTACCAACTTTAACAAAGTCAAAAGTTAGCATAAAGAGCAATGTAAATTTAAAACACCAATAATGACAAATCTAACAATGAAATCTCATCTTGAAGAAGAGTTAGTAATGTAAAAAAAAAATAAAAATTAAAGTAGTATGAAAACTTAAAAGCTTACCCAAAGTCTAATTTAACATTTCAAGAAGGCCCAAATTTAAATGAAGTATTAGTGTTTCCAAAAAAAAAACTGCTCTAGATCAGTTCGTGCTTCAAAAAAATTCTAATTTATGAAAAAAATTTTTTTTAAATTTTGATGATCTTGTGTCTGATTACAACTCACGCATATCAGATAACCAATTGACAGGTAACATGTGTCACCTGAAAATCGGCATCTGATGTGCGTCAGTTTAGATCCGACATGAGAATCGATCTAAGGCACAACATTTATATCTAATAAAATATTAGCAAGATTGCTAAATTGATAAAAAAAAAATAAAATAAATAAAATCACATATATCTAGCTATATAAATTTACTAAAAATAGAGTATGATAATGTAGCAAAGTGGTAAAGTTGTTACACTCCATGTCAGTTTGGCTATAGTATTAAGTTTAAATCTCACTAGTGCCATTTTTAAATAATTTACTTGTGCTATGATAATAGCATATTCTAAATTGTGCTAGATTTATATATCTGTAAACTAGAGCATATTAATGCCTCAAGTTGTATTGGGAAACATAAAAGCATTTGTATTATTGCATAAAGAAATGCAAACTAGTATAGATAGTGCAAACCTGTAATAAGACCTTCTGAATTGAACATTATTAAAACCTACTTATAGTAGCCTAAAAGAACTAAAATCAGCTTGGCAAATTTCAATTAAAGAAATAGCAAATTAGATCTAACTAGGTGCTACCTGATACTACAGAACAGATCTGACTAAACCCCAAAATTGAAGTAGTTGTGCAATGAAGATCTTTTGGGCAAAAGAGATTTACCAACTAGCCACCAAGATCACTAGAGTGCTCTAGTTGTACTTTCCTTAAAGGTAACTAGTAGAAAATCCTAAAATGAAATTTCAGAAAAAAAGACAACATGCTATAAAAACATGAGCCAAGGATCAGAAAACCTTTAGACTTGAGCTTGGGAAACTCGGGTCTGAGCAAACTGAACTATCTAAATTTGAAAAAATTGACAATATCAAAGGAGTAAGATATGAAAAGTGATAGAATATAATATAGAGATTTGTGAATTTTAAAAGGATAGGAGTAGATAATAGTAGAAGTTCAAGATTAAGCTCTAACCTCAAGTACATGAGTTAAGCTATAGTATAAATTACTAAAGTCTAAGTAAATATATATGTGGTATATACCACTTTGGCAAGTTTATCTCAAGAATAAATAAGAACTATCAGTCTTATCCTAAGTTTAGTTGTTAATCTAGTGGTATCATATAGACCCATAGTATTCTAATAATGTATAGTGAGGTTATATCTGAGTTAGGAGTTTCACTTAATAGAATTAAGGATATGATTAGAGGGTTTAAATAGATACTCTACATAGTGAGGTGCAGATATGGCAAATAGTATAGAATCTCTAATATAGCATTATCGCTTTGAGCAAACTACTTAAATTAGACACCAAAAGTGTATATAAGGGCCTCACAATAAAAAGTACCATATGGCACTAACTACAGTACCTCAGGTATTTTTCAATAAACCACCAAATTTATTGAATAGTACCCACTCGGGTACTATTTACAGGGGGTATACAAGCATGGGGATATTTTGTAATAGGAATACTATAGCAGGGGGTCTTTTACATAGTTATAATAAAATTACCGATACCAGTACCATATACAGGTGATGTAATTTATAGTATGTTCATAATTAATAAATTAATATACTGTGATACATCATAAATTACATTATAATTGCATTATAGTAGAAAATCATAGTATAAAAGAAATTAATTTTTTTTTTTTTTTTTATCTGTTAACTTGTTAAAGTTACAATAATACATGTATGTGAAAATAAAAATAGTAGATATGCAAGAGTAACAAATAAAACAAGATGACAATAGAATGCACATGAAAAACTTGCTATTGTTACATACCTTGAAAAGCACCCAAGTCAGAGTGTTCGAGCAACAGCTACCAAATTTAATATTAAACCAAAACAAGTAAAAGATTGGTGTAACAAAAAAAATGAGTTAATGAACATTTCACCTCATATCAAACGAATAAATAAGGGTAAACCACCTAAATATTCTGAGTTAGAGAAGACAATTTTTAGTTGGGTACAAGAATTATGCAGTAAGCTAAAACCCATAACTCATGCTATGGTACAAATTAAGGCCAAAACACTATCTCAAAAATCACCCTATAATACTTATTATCCTGGTATTACTGAAAGTAAATTTAGCAATAAGTGGGTTGATGGCTTTATGACTCGTTACAAATTAAGCAATCAGTGTCAAACATCTGCAGCTCAAAAACTCTCCAAAAATCTGCAATTGCAACAACAAGAGTTTTTAAGTTTTGTACTATATCGTCGAATTCAATATAATTATCCTCTTATCTTAATAGGTAATATGGATGAAACTCCATTATCATTCGATCTTCCAAATAATACTACAATTGATAATTGTGGTGCAAATACAGTTTTAATTCAGATCTGTAGACATGAAAAATCATGTTTTACTGTTGTACTTACTTGTTTAGCTGATGGGACTAAATTGCCTCTAGTTATTATTTTTAAATTAGTTAATGTTCTATAGCAAGTATTTTTTGCTAGAGTTTTTGTATGTACAAATTCTAAAGGATGGATAAATGAAGATGAGATGTTATGGTGGATTGAAAATATGTAGAATTTGTGATCAAGAATATCAGTAGACCCATGTTCACTTTTAGTTTTAGATTCATTTACTGCTCATATTACTGATACAGTTAAACATTGGTTCTCTGAAAAAAACACAGTTTTAGCTATAATTCTAGCAGGTTTAACCTCAAAAGTTCAACTATTAGATGTTGCTATTAACAAATCATTTAAAGCAGGAGTAAAGTATACAAATTATATATTATATAAATAAATATACGTAATAGAATTATTTATTTATTTGATATAGGTATGAAATTACTATAACGATTGGATGGCTAGCGAAATTCATACTTTTACTAAAAAAGGTCGTATTCAATGTCCTGCATACAATTTAATTGCTCAATGGGTATTAGATGCGTGAAACAGTATAGATCCTATACTTATCTGTAAATTTTTTAAGTACTGTGATATTTCCAATTCACGGGATAGAAAAGAAGACCGTCTAATTTTTGACTATGATCAACTTGAACCACAAACAAATTCACGTAATCATATATATATTTATAAAGAACTAAACGATATTAGTGAAGGTTCTAGTGTTAATATACAAGAAGGTTCTAGTGTTAATACACAAGAAGTTTCTAGCAATAATACAGAGGAAGGTTCTAGTGATAATACAGAGGAAGGTTCTAATAAGGGGAGTGACAGATATTATATAATATCCTAGGGGGGTGGGGGTCAGGCAAATTCTTATGTTACACTTATGTATTATATATAATTTATATATATAATATATATATAATATATAATATAATTATATTACTATAATAATATAAACTTGAATAACTTTTGATCCACCAGATCAATTTGGATTATTTAACCACCAAAATGATCCTTAGGATGACATCTTTCTAATGGATCCAAAATCATCTGATTCTGATTACAGGATCCCAAGATCAGAAGTATTTTGTATTATATTTACTATATAGTAAATACTTCCGATCTCGGGATCCTGTGATCAGAATTGGATGATTTTGAATCCATTAGAAAGCTGTAATCCTAAGGATCATTTTGGTGGTTAAATCATCCAAATCGGTCCAGTGGATCAAAAGTTATTCAAGTTTATATATATATATATTAGTAATATAATTATATATATAATATATTATAACTATTTTTAGATCAGCCAATCAGAGTTGACTTATGTGGGGGTACCCCTATAGTAAAAAGATATTACGTAATATCTGTCACCACCCTAATAATATGAATGAAAGTTTAAATGTTGGTACAAATGAACGTTTAAATACTTATACAGGTAAAATTTAAATATTAAATTAATAAGTTTATATTGTTATAGAACGAATTTATTATTAGTTTATTATTTTATTATTATTATTTATTAATTATCTTAGAATATTATTATTATCTTGTATTATTATTAACATGTCGCTTAATTGCTTAGTCGCTTAGTCGATTAACTATATAGTCGCTTAGTCGCTTAGTCACTTAGTTGCTTAGTCGCTCAGTCGCTTAGTCGCTTAGCTCACAGATATATAAACCCCACTAATTTCCCCAAGTTAGAATAAGCA